TTTTTTTTTTTGAGAGGTTTTGCTGTAGGGCACGTGTGCTCGCCAGAAAGACAGAGAGATAGAAAGCAAAGAAAAACTGCCCCCCCTACCCCCGGGGAATGGCCACGCCTCAATCCCTTCTCCTCTCGGGATCTTGGGCATGCACACACACGCACCCAGCGTGAGTTTATGTCATCGGGTCCGGGACTTGAACCATAGTCGACTACATGGGAGTTCAGCGACATAGCCATTACGCTAACTGCTGGTCCCAGCCAGGAGATCTAATGTCTAGTTCTAGATGGCCCTTGTCTGGCTGTGTGACCTTTCAGCGGACATCCCACCCCTCCCCATCTTAGTTTCCTCATCTGTAAAACGAGCCAGATGTGTTGAGTCTCAGAAGGAAAGTGAGAAAGCAAGCCGTCAGGTCCAGCACTCAAACCATGGCCAGCCATGTGGGAGTCCAGCGATCTTAACCACCATGTCTGCTGCCATCCCCAGAAATAACTGTTTAAACAGTAAAGTAAAACTAAAGGAGAGGCAGATCACCTGTTTATTAGATTGCTTTTAGTTTTTCAATGCAAAGGTCTTACCTATAAATGAAAAGCTGCTTTTCGGGTATCAGAGAAAAATATCTCCTGTATTTCACTATAGTTTGGGGGGTCAGGATGAGGGGAGGTGTTGCTTTTCCTTTGGATGTATTTTTCAGTAACTATAGGAAATGATAGGTGGCTCCTGCATATGGGCAAAGCAGAAGGCAGTTAGCAACTGAGATATACCCACTTTGCCACAGACCTTTTGGGTGCACTGTCCCTTTAATCATTTCATAATCCCTCCGGTGACAAGCATTATTGCCTTCACTTTAAAGATAAGAAAACTGAGATATAAATAGCTGAAGTGTCCTTCTCAGTCCTCTGTGACACTCTCCAAGGCAATGCTGAGAAGAAAAGCTATGTGGAATAATGCCTTCCATTTGGTCCATGGGATTGAGACTTGTGTTGGAGAGATGGGTAACTTACAAGAGCTTATAGAGTAGGTGGACAGTACAATTTGGGAGGCAGTTGACAAGAGCCTGCCCACAAATATTAACTTTATTGATAGTGACGTCACAGTCATTTTGCCTGAAATTTTGTAACTCAAGTCATTATTTAAACGTGTTTTGTTTTTATTTGCTTGGTTATTTATTTTAAAGAATTGTTTAATGGTGTGTATTTATTAATTTTTAAAAAATATTTTCTTTTGCCTTAGTCTGTGTGTGCTCTCCAGAAAGAGAGAGAGTAAAAGATAGACAGTGAGAGGCAAAGTGAGAAATCACCCCCCTAGGGGAGATGGCCATGCTGCAATCCTTTTTCCACTTTCCTCCTGGGATCTTGGGCACACACACATGCATCCTATGTGAATTTCAAACCACCGGGTCCAGGACTTGAACTGCGGTCACCCAGGTGAGAGTCCAGTGATGTAATCGCTGCGCCATCCTGGCCCTTATTATTATTATTTTTATTTGGCCAGAGAGAGAGAGAGAAAGCAAGGAAACAAGCCACCAGGTCCAGAACTCCAATCGTGGTCAGTCATGAGGGAGTTCAGCACTTTAACTACCACACCACCTGCCGGCCCCATTTTTCATTTTTTATTTTGTTTTTCTTTGCCAGTGGTGATGTTGGGGGACCTTTCAAATGCACATACCCATTGGAGGATTCATAAATGAAGTAGTTCACCACCTCATATCTCAGTAGGCAGTGTGGAATAGGAGAAAGAGCTCAGAGTTTGAAGAATCCACCACAGACTAGTTGTTTACCTTGCAGGTGATACTTAATCTCTTAGAACATCACTTTCTTCTTAACAGGTAATAATGCATATGCAATAAGTACTGAGAATAATACTCATAATGCATTGTACCCATCAGATGTGAGTAACCGTGGGAGAGTGGGAAGAACACAGGGACGGAGGTCGGGAGACTTGGTGGCTTGCCATCTTTGTTTCATTCATTCAGGTAAAATCGTTATTGAACTTCTTGTATGTGTCATACATTGTCACATAGGCCCTGGGGATACAACAATGAGCAATCTAAAGGCCCTGCTTTCTTCTATCTTAAATTTGAGTTTGGTGCTGATTAGCTACATCCATATTCAGGTCATATAGACGGGGATTAATGTTCTTTGCATTTCAGAGTCAAGAAACGAAAGATTAAGTGATACAGTGGTGAGCAAAATAATTATGATGTCTGGCCTCATCAAGTTTATAGTCAAATGGAGCAAAAGTTAATCACGTAGGGGCCAGCAGTTAGCGTAATGGCTATGTCGCTGGACTCCCATGTAGTTGAATGCAGTTGGCGTCCAGGACCCGGTGCCTTAAACTCATCCCAGACATGTGTGCGTGCGTGCCCAAGATCCCGAGAGGAGAACAGAGGAGAAGGGATTGCGGGGTGGCCATCCCCCCTGGGGGGGTGATTTCTCGCTTTCTGTCTCTCTGTCCACGCACCCTATAGCAAAAACCTCTCCAAAGGAAAAACAAAAACAAAAACAAAAGTTACAGATAATCTCACAAATTACTGTTAGAATAAAACCATAATGTCTCTGGGGTCAACAGGTGACATAGTGGTTCAGGTGCTGGACTTACACATGGCTGGCCATAGTTCTAGTCCCAGATGTGGTGGCTTGAAAATCACACTGGGCACATATGTGTGCATGCCCCAAAAATCCCAGGAGGAGAATGAAGACGGTGTGGCCATCTCCTCTGGGAGGTGATTTCTCACTTTCCCTCTCACTGTTTCTGTCTCTCTCTCTTGCAAGTATACATGCCCTGTGGCAAAAATCTTAACCAAAAAACGAAAAAAAAAAAAAGCTATGAGAACTCTAAAGGAAATGTAGTCAGTGTTCTCAAAGCATGTAACGAGGATCACACATCAGCGTCCCTGAATAAGTGACATCTGAGCCGTGATCTGAAGAATGAATCTGCTCGAACTTGGTCATCCTTCTACACATCCCAAGCTTCGTCTGTATTTCTCTTGGCTCTATTACATTCTCTTTGTTGGCTATTCCGAATTTTCTCTTTTTAAGTCTCCTACTCAGCTACCAAAGGGATTCATTCTCTGGAGGTGGGCTTGCCTCCTATTTTACATAGAAGATAAAAGCTATCAAGTGTGCCTCACCCCTTATCCACCTCTCCCATATTTCACACAAATGTTGATTTGTATCTTCACCCATGCTTTTTGTTCTGTCTCAGAGGTAAACCCAGCTCTCCTGTGGTCCAAGTTACGTCTTTCCTCCTGAGTTTTATATCCCATGCCATCCTCTTGCTTTCTTGGGGAACTTTTTCACCATTTTCTTACCCCCCCTCCCTTTTTTTGTATCTTTAACTGCTTCCTCTCTTTGAGTTCTTTTTTTAAGAGAGAGAGAGAGGAAGAGAGAGAGAGAGAGAGAACGAGAGAGAATGAGATAGCTTTTTAAATTATTTTTTACGTTTTATTATTATGACCACCTTAACCACTGTGCCTCCATGGTGTCCCCAAGTCCAATCTTTTAACATGACTCAGTTATGCCTATGTACATCTTATACTGAAGTCAAACTACTTGTAGATCTCAGAAGTCATTAAGCTTTATCAACTCCTTGAATTTGTTTAATCAATTTTCATTGAAGGGAAGTCCTTCTCATGAATTACCCCTCACCTCTTTGACACATGCCTACTCCTTATCTAGGAGGTAGCTTAGGCGTTACTTTAAGGATTCTTACCTAACCACCACTTCCAAGACCACATTGAACCTAGCCTCTGTGCTTCTGAGTGCTTGCCTCTTTCCTGGAACTTAGCACATTACCTCATAATTGATGTTGAGTCTAGACCAGAAACTTGGATATGCAAGAAATTTCACATTTTAAAAGGTTCTCTAAGCTACCTGGAATTCAGTATTCTGCCAGGCAAATAAGACATGTAATTCTAGTTCATCTTTGAGTTTGCTGCTGGGATATGCAAATGATCTGAGACCTTGGGTAACATCAAAATACCGGGGAGGCCTTTTTGGTCATTGACCACTAATCTTCTGTCAATTCCTTGATATATTTTCTGAAATACCATTGTCTCCACCTGGAATGGTCTTTTCATGTTTGCTGCTGCTGCTCCTACGCTATGTGTGGGGGACTGGATCATGACTGAGATTGAGTCCCCTCTGTCTAGAGCTGCACACTCATTGAAACTTTTCTAGGTTTTTGCCCCCCTTTTAGGCTGCTATTATCAAATGTTGAGCTGTTTTTTTGTTTTCCTCTCTCTCTAACCTCTACCAGATCCCTGACTCTGTTTTGTCTAAAATAAATGCCCCTTTCTCTTTTCTCAATACCCTAAAAGGAATTTCATCTGTTCACTTGAGAAACCTAGTGGCATTCCCAAGCATAAAGCTCTCCCATGAGCTTGGATTTTGAAAAAACAAAAGCCAGCAAGGTAAGTGTCTGTGTACAGCTTTTACTTTTTGGTCCAGGCAGCAGGAAGGATGAATCCTCTTGAAGAAGAAAGGATAAGGTGGTCAAACTATAGTCTTAAAATGGGAGAAGAGAGAAAGCAACCTGATAGCTAAACACAAATGGTTATCTCAAAATAATGTTACCCATACTTTTTACTTTTAGGAGACTATCCTCTTCACTAAATGGTGGGGGCCTTTTAACATATTGCAGAACTTCGTTCCCTAATAGTTCAGTAGAGAGTATAGAGGAGACACAAAATCCAGTCTAGGAGAGGGAGAAGAGCAAATTTATTGAAGGAAATACTACCTGAGCTAAATCTCAATGACTAGGGGTAATCTCGATGACTAGGAGTAATCTCAATGACTAGGCTAGTTAAAGCACAATTAATGATGCAGGATATTGCAGTGACTAGAGCCCCAACACCAATGTAGGATCCATCAGTGAAGCAACCAGATTCGAGTCTCATAGTCACAGAGAAGTTGAAGTGAGGACAAAAGGAAGGCATAGCAAAGCAGAGTTTATTGAAAGAGTAAAGCTCTCAACAGAGGAAGGGGTCCTGAAAGAGGATTGCCAATGTGGGATTTGGTCTGGGGTTTCTATCTTAGCTAGGAGGAACTTGTTTATACTTTTCCCTTGTGGAGTTCACACACTAGGCAGCTTATTCCTTTTAAACCAGTGGTCAGTGATTGCTTAAGTCTTTTTCTGAGAACTTTGGGCCCTAAAAACCCTTATCTAGGTTCTGGAATGTAGTGGGGACATGGGAAAAGCCATAATTGCTGTAATTGCTGTAGGTCATGCTACATAGGTTAATTACTGAGTCACTGCTGCAAGCTGTTTCTTGTGAATTTGGCTATTGTGACTCCATTTAGGGGCCTTATGTCCTGCTTACCTCTGTAAATGCCTATCTCCTGTCTCATTAGTATCAGTGGAATTGCAGGGACAAAGACTTAGAGATAAAATAAGACCCTGTTTGGGGGCTGGCAGGTGGTGTGGTGGTTAAGGTGCTGGACTCCCACATAGTTGACCATGGTTTGAGTCTTGGACCTGGCAGCTTGCTTTCTCACTTTCCCTATGTCTCTCTCTGGTGAAATTAAAATAATAATGATGATGATGATGATGATGATGAACAAAATTAAATCTTTTTAAAAAAAGAGAACAAGATCCTACTTTTCAAGACTTTTAAGTAGGAGATGAATCTGAAAGTATTTGTTGGTAGGATCCAGATAATAGAAAGCATTGACTGCCATGGTAAAGGGGTCATAAGTTATTTAATGAGAGACCATACAGCATAGAGGTTGAAGGCAGACACTCTGAAATGACACATCCTGGCTTTGAATCTTGGCTCACCCACTTGCTGTCTATGAGATTCAGCTAATTACATGCCTTTCTGTGTCTCAGTTTCTTCATTGGTAAAATGTGATAACATCAGTATCTCAATGCTGTGGTGAGGGTTGAGTTAATATAATGACATGCTTAGAAAGTACTGGCACTCCATGAGTATATTGACTTGTGAGTTATTATTTCATTATTTTGTAGAGCAGTGGGAAGCCAGTGAAAGAGTCTGGACATATTTGAGTTTTAGGAGTCACACCAGGTAGAGGGTAGAGAATGGCTTGAACCTGACTCACTGTAATATGTAAAATGCATAAAAGGTTACTGAGGCTGATTAGAGAGGATGATAATAAGGATTGGGGTTATACCAGTGAAGATGGAGTGATTCAGATGGAGTGATACAAAGGTATTTAGATCATGGAAACTTTAGGGTGTGCTATACATGCGTGAAGTGGCGGTGGAGGAGAAAGGGGAAAGGAATCAGGATGACTCCTAGGTTTCCAGCTTAGGACACTGTTTGTGAAATCATGCCACTATTTGATAAAGGAAATAGAGGAAGGGAATATGCTGACAAATTGTGTTAATCTTCTGAGTGTTCATAATCCCCATGTTCTTCATGTTCTTTGGAACAGAAACAATTAAATTACATCACTCATCAGTATTTTGATATCTTGTATTGAAAGATTATCTGGGTATTTTAAGATATGCCTAAGTGGAATTTAACCTCGTCCCAGGGAAGATATATTTTGTCCTCTATGCCTTTCTCTGATAAGTTTGTTATTTCCATAACTTAAAAATATTATTGAGAGGGGCCAGTAGGTGTTTGAGTTCTAGACCTGGTGCAAAATTCTGTGGGGACATGGAGGAGACAAGATTGCAACATGGCCATTGCCCCAGGGGTGATTTCTCACTTTTTCTCTCTCTGTCTTTCTCTGGTGAGCACATGTGTCCTATGGTAAAAACCTAAATACACACACACACACACACACACACACACACATATATATATATATACACACACACACACATACACATAAATAAGAACAATTCTTTGGTAACTGCAGTTTTGGAAATATTGAGATGACATGATAGGCTACCAATTGTGCTGGGCCAAGGTGACATGGTAGATCACTGGTAAATTTGTTTTTGATCAGTAGTCTGTCAGCTTGCCAAAACTGTAAGAACTTTGGAAATGACTAGTTCACAGTCTTACAGTTATATCAGTTCACTCATTCATTGGCCAGATATTTAAAATGTGCTATGTGCAGGTAATGATCTTACTATAGAAGCATAAGCCTAACACAAAAGCTGAAGAAATTCTGTTCTCATAGAGCTTACAATTAAGCAGAAGAGATGGACTTAATTTTAAAGAATCACAATGAGGGACCAGCAGTTAGTGTAATGGCCATGTCACTGGACTCCCATGTGGTCGACCGCGGTTCAAGTCCCAGAGGTGGCTTAAACTCACACCAGGCGCGTGTGCATGCATGCCCAAGATCCCAAGAGGAGAAAGGAGGAGAAGGGATTGCGGTGTGGCCATCACCCCTGGGGGTTTATTTCTCGCTTTCTGTCCTTCTCTGTCTTTCTGGCGAGCGCATGCTCCCTATAGCAAAATCCTCTCCAAAATAAATAAATAAATAAATAAATAATCACAATGATAAATAAATAATTGTAAACTCTAACTGCTGTGAAGGAAAAATTTCCAGTGGCAGTATACTATAATAGTTAAAAAGCACAAGCTTGGACCAGCCCATGGCCTGGCAGTTAAGGCAGCTGGGTCCCACGTAGCTGACTGCATGATTTGAGTCCTAGACCCAGAGGCTCTAAAACACATTGGACCTGTATGGCATGCATACCCGAAATCCTGAAAGGAGGAAGCGATAGAGGAGAAGGAATTGGAGCATGACCATTTCCCACGGGGAATGTTTTTTCCTCTCTCTCTGTCTCCCTTTGGTGAGCACACATATCATCTGGCAAAGGAAAAAAAAAGAAAAAGAAAAAGAAAGAAAGAAAGAGAGAGAGAAAGGAAGAAAGAAAGAAAAGGAAAAAGAAAAAAATGAAAGGAAAGCACGGGATATACAAGCAGGCTGATTGGGCTCAAATCCTGCTTTCTTTCACTTACTGTTTGTACAACCTTGGACCGGTGATTTAACCTCTCTGGGTCTCGGTTTCTTGTGTAAATGGAGACAATAAAGTGAGTAGAAGTTACCTAATCTAAGGGGGATAGAATGAGTATCCCAAGCAGATGGAGCAGCATGTGCATAGGCCCTGTGTTCAGAGTACAGAACACAAACAGGAGAATGCATAGAAAGTGGCTGAAGAAATAGTGAAAGGCCACAGTATTTCGACCTTGAGGACCAAGTCAAGAATTTTTATGTTTTTCCCTCAGATAAAAAGGAAACTATGAAGAAATTTTAGCAGAAACTTCCATATTCTGATGTGTATTATGAAAACCAAAAAATATACATTTCTATCTGCAGCATGTAAATAGCTGGAATGAGGCCAGAATAAATTCAGGGAGACATACTAAGAAGCTATTATAGGAGGACTGAAAGTGGCGTGGTGGTTAAGTTGCTGGACTCCCACATGACTGATTGTGGTTCAAGTCCTGGACCTGGTGGCTTGCTTTCTCACTTTCCTTCTCTCTCGTCAAAATTAAAGCAAACAAATAAATAAAATAATTCTTAAAAAAAAAAAAAAAAGCTTTTGTAGGGCCAGCAGGTGGCATGATGGTTAAGGCAACTGAACTCTGACATGGCCAACTACAGTTCAAGTTTAGGACCTACGGGCTTGCTTTCTCACTTTCCCTCTGTCCCTCTCTGGTGAGTGTATGTGCCCTTTAGCGAATTAAAGAAAAATAATAATGATGATAAACAACTAAATAATTCTTTAAAAAATTATTGTAATATTCCAGACAAATTATGAAATTATGATGGTGATGTGGGCTAGCATGGGAGAGGAGATGAATCTCAGTAGTTGCAAGGGATATTTGAGGAATGAACAAGATTTGAATATGGATTAAACATGGAGGATGTGGATGTCTAAGGTGGATCTGGTTTCTGGCTTGTCTTGTTGAACAGATACAGTAAGAACACTCATTTTCAGATGGATAATCTTGATTTTGGTGTTTGACACTTTGCATTTGAGGTATGTTTTGAGACTTCCAAGTACAAATGCTAAGAAAACAATTTGGTAGTCAGATCTGGAGATAAAAATAGTTTAGGCGGGAGATTTGAAAGTCATTGACATATGGAGGGAACTGGTTTCAGAAAAGCCAAGGGAAAAAATGTTTCAGGAAGGATGATGGTAAACAGCTGAATGCTTTAGAAGGATAAACAAGATGGGGATAAAAAGTATCAATGGAATTCAGTAGTACAGAGGTCATTCTAGTGGGATCGGTTTCTGGAGTCATGGATTGGTGGTGAAGAGAAGGAAGAACCCAGAAGAGAATAGAGCGATGAAGAGTGAGAGGGGAGCTGTGATGAAAATAGCAAAAGTAGATGATTCTCTCTGGAAAGTTGGCTGTGAAGAAGATGGGAGTATTGAGGCAGCAGATGGAGACAAATATGAGAGTGAGCTAGTTTGTTTTCATTTATTTATTTCCTTTTTTTTTTTGAGAGATTTTCATTGTAGGGCGCGTGCGCTCGC